ATTTTTCCAGACTATTTCTTTATTTTAAATTTCATGTTAAAGTTAGTCTCTGCTCACCTGGGGTGGGAAGTCACTGTCCCAAGCTTCAGGCTTTTTCTTGCTGCTATTTTCAGAGCTAGTTCTGAGGCCTGGAATTTTCCAGAGCTGAGGTCACTGCTTTTCTGGTCTGTGCTATATTATTTACTCAGTAAAGACCCAATACCCCTCTGCAGCAATAAGCACTAGTGCTGCTCTTGTCCTCATATCTGTGATCAGGTCCCTTGCTCTCATGCAACCACAAATGCTAGTTAGTGAACCTCTCTGCCCTGGAACTTCAACCAGGGCCCCTGTTCCCTTATGAGCCACCACAAACTTTCTTCTTCATTTTGGAACTGAGACTCAGAAATGAGTATGGGCAATGGAGTTTCCAAACAGAATCCAGGGCCAGCTCAGGGTCCCCTGTATTCTCTTTTTGACCAGTTGCATTGTGCACTTACTGCCTCTGGGTTTAGAACTCCCAGAGTTATTGCTGCTCTTCCAGCTGCCCCCAAGTTCTTCTACTGCTATGTGTACTCCAGGTTGGCCCACATCCTGGGGTCACAATCCTCTCCTGTTGAGCTCCTGATTTGTCTTGAAAAATTATTAGCCTCACCTTTTGTTTGCTCTGTTTCTCCAGAATTCGATTTGAAGCATTATTTTAAAGTTGTTTTGATGGGAATGTCTACATGTGCTTTATAAAGTATGTATTTTGTGAAATGTGAGTGTGTGTATAAAATTTATGTGTGTGTATTACAAAGTGCTTCTTAACAGTCTTGTAAGGTAGTTCATATAAATATTGTCCCCATTTTGCAAATGACTGTCCTTTATATGATAAATCCTTCAGTCCTTTCTTAAAATCTATTGTCCTGCTGTTATTCATTTGCATTTTAACTTAAAGAAGAAAATACTCAGCACCTATCTCCTTGCCCCAAACAAACCTCCCACCTATCATCAACCTCCTAACTTTTCTAAAATTAAACACTTGCAGCTTTTTTTTATTTCTACACTGCTTTCTCAATGTCAATTAAAAGAATTCTAGAATGCAAGCTCTAATTTCAACTATTATGCTAAGGGAATATAAATTCATATTTAATATTATGTCAAGGTAAACCACATGAAGAAAAGTAAATCAGTTTAAAAAAAGAACAAAATCCAGTGTTCTGAAACCAAACAGAATTTATTTTTCCTTTGTCCCACTGATGTCTTACATTTACATTGGATTATGCCTTTATTCTTATGTGTAATGCTTAGAAGAGAAATTGAAAGTATACTTTAGATTGATATTGTGAAAAGCTGGGTTGAATCTTAACTTTGTCACTCACTAGCCATGTTCAATGATAAGTAATATTATCTTTCTAAACCTCAACTATTTAATTTGTGAAATGGAGATAAGGTAACAAGAATAAAATCTTCAGGCATATATGATCAACAGTTTGGTATACTTAGAATAGAACTAGATCTGGAATCCAGAGATAATTTTGACTCAGCTCTGTCATTTACCAGTTAAATGATTGGAGCTATAGATTTCTTAGCCTCAGTTTCCGTAACTATAGAATAAAGATAACATATTTATACTAATTCATAGAGTTATGGTGGTAGAAGTACTTTGTGAATGTTAAAATGATTTTATCCAGTCAAAATCTACTATAAACCCAGGACCTACCTAGGTATTTTGATATATGTTCTTCTGTTCCCCTGGTTCTACCCACCTGGGAAAGCTACCCTCTTGATGGCTTCCAATTCCTGGCTATCTGGGAGGAGATTGTCTACTAAGTTTTGGAGTTTTGCATTCTGTCCTAATTACTGAGTGAATTAATGCAAATTTATCTGATTCATTATATCTTGTCAACTCTAGATCATATTTCAAATTCCATTCAACTATAATGGGGTGTATCAGGGAGGTGGTCCTAGCCTCCACTCCTTCCCCTTCTTCCTTTTTTCCACCTCCTGTCATGGGAATAGTAATCAAATAAATACTAATATTTCTACTTGAAAGAGCATTATAATCAACTCTTCTACATCTCCACACACTGTCCATGTGATTTACCTCAACTTCCATTATGGTCACCAACTGCATGTTTGTACAGTAAAGACCTCCTTAAGGTAGGAACTATCTCACTTTTTTATTTATATACATAGCATCTAGCACAGGCTCTGGCAAACAGTAATATGTTTTCATTTATTGAATTTTTAAAATTAATTTATTCATTAATAAATTCTAATGATGATGATCAGATTACAATAATATGAAAGTTATTTTGTAATGATTGTTTGAAAATAGTCAAGAAAAATCAAGCATCCACTGTGTGACAGGTACTGTGTTAAGCAATGGCGATTCAAAGAAAGTTTCTGCTTCTGTTCTCAAAGATCTCACAGTCAAAGGTAGTAAACAGCATATAAACACCTGTGTACAAACAGAGACAAGGCGATGGGACTAAGGGGGCTTAGGAAAGGTTCCCCATAGAAGATAAGATTTTAGAAGAGACTTAAAGGAAATTAGGAAAGTAATGAGACAAATATGAGGAGGTTAAGAAATCCAGAGATAGGAAACTGAAAGGAAAAATGTCCAGAGTCTGGAGATGGAGTGTCTGGTGTTTTATGTTGTTTCTTTTGTTGTTGTTGTTGTTTGTTTGTTTGTTTTGTTACAGCAGGGAGGCCAGTGTTAGTGGATCACCAAGAACATAGGTTGGGGGTAGAGAAGGGAGTAAGGTATGAGAAGACTGGAAAAGAAGAAGGTAATGAGGTCACGTAGGGTTTTGGATGCCAAACAGAATATTTTGTTTGAACTTGGAGATGATAAGGAGATATTGGAGTATATTGATGTGGGGGGTAGGGTCACATGGTAATTATTGACTTTTAGAAATACAACTTTGATAACTGAATAGAGGATGGACTGGAAAGGGGAGAGGAGTCCAGATATGAGATGATGATGGCCTTTACCAGGGTGGTGGCATTTTCAGAAAAGATAAGGAGACATACCCAAGAGATATTATGAAAGTAAAAGAGAAAAAAAAGTGGACAATGACAACAGATTGAATTGTACAGTGGGAGAAAGTGAGGAGTAAAAGATGACCACTGGGTTGTGAGTGATTATCAATAACTGTCACAAATTTATTTAATATTTGTTACTGGGGTTTTGGCCATTTTGTTTTTGTATTTGTGAAGTCTCTTAAATGTTTGAAATTGTTTTTCCTATTATAATTGGTGCACAAATATATTTATTGTATCACTCAAATGTGTTTGACTGGGAGGATGGGTGTGCCTGGGCAGTAATAATGAAATAAAAAAGAGAAGTGCTTCAGTTTTAGAAATGTGTTTTTGATATTTTGGGGACATACAATTCAAAAGATTCAATAGGCAACTGAAACTCAAGAGAGGTACTTTTGATAATCATCAGCATAGATATAATGATTGAATCCATGGGAGCTGATAAGGCCACTAAATTAAATAGTATAGAGTGAGAAAAGAAAAGATTACATAACTGTCATTTTTAAAATGCTGTTTCTTTATTGTTGTGCTTGCTTAAGATGTATTCGTATAACATCTTGGTGAAACCCCCAACTCATAGAATTGGATTTCCAGGAATGTTGGTCTAAGATTAAGTTATTTGATGGTTCCCTGTCTACTGATAACATAGCCCCCACTAATATGTTTATTTTAGACAATAAACCAAAGGACACAGTTATCTCACACAAGAGGCATTTAATAAAATGATACAGTATGATAAATAAAAGTTTGTTCACCATAACACAGGAACACACATTTCCACAAATACACAGAAAGCAGACATGGAATATTAGATTGTCTCCCCCCACCCCCAGATTCTTCCTCTGTCCATGTCAATGTTGTTTTCTTGGGTGCAAAAATACAAAGGGAATTATGGATTTTGTTGTTCATTTTGGAGAGATTCATGCCCCTACATGCTTACCAAATAATTTGAGACAACTTAGAAGTTTAATATAATTTAAAATAGGACAGTTAGAGGTAAAAACAAAATAGAAATGTATCTATCAATTGACTTTGTTGTACTACATTACTGCCATTTGTAGATAGGAATAATAAATTCAGGCAGGTAATGAAAATGACATAATGGAAGGAAGTGCTTGCCCTGGCATCTAGAATGAGTTAAAATTTAGTCCCCTGAAATGATTTAGGTGAAGCATGCCATATGATAAAACTTATTCTAATAGAGAAAAACAAATAAAAGCCTACTGCCATTTTTAATCTGAACTTTATACGAATATTTTAGTGTTGCTTTTTCTTGAAGTAAAGAAGGAAAAGTAATTCCTGGTATACTAGATGACTAAAAATAGATGTTGAATTTTTTGCCACCACAGAATCTGCACATATCATTCTACCACAAGGAAAAATAAATTAAAGTTTAGAAATGCTAAGAAAAAAAATCACTGATTATCTGGAAATTTTTTCCAATTTAAACTCTCCAATACCTTGTATTTTTATTCAGAAACATGGCAAGATCTGGAAGTCCCTTCTGGATTATGATAAAAAAAAATAACAGGGTTTTCTTTTGTACATTTCACTGTATTCTAACTCTTTGAAAACTAACAATACATGTTTGATATGAATAGTAAACCAGTTATCCTGAATGTTTGATTATTCCAAACAATCTCTTCTTTGACTTCATGGAAAATGGTGAATGTTAGGTAATATAGCATAACCAATTTTCACTTCCCATGTTCTTATAAATAAATTGTAAGTGATTATCGATAACTGTCAAGAATTTGTTTAGGGTTTGTTACTGGGGGTGCTGCCATTTTGTTTTTATATTTGTGAAGTCTCTTAAATGTTTGAAATTATTTTTCCCATTATAATTGGTATACAAAACATTTTTATTCTGTCATCCAAATGCATATATTTATAGCTATAAGTTCCTTTATACATATAGACTAATGTAATTTAATGAAACTAATTTAATGAAAATCACAAAGAAATCATATTGATGTTTTTTAAAATGTTTTCAGATATGTGAAGCTGGGAATCATTTTATCAATGTAGTATTAGCTCATCCAAATCACACAGGTTTGTTTCATTCTTTTCTCTTTTGCTGTGGTGAATGGATTGTGTTGACTGTTTTATTAACATGTCTGAACTTGTTTCCTATGCTCCCATCTCTCTTGAAAAAGCATTGTTCTCAACATCATTTAAATATTACATAGTTTATCACTTTCCTGCCTCTTCCACCCCTTTCTTTCTATGCCTAAGGTTTACTAAAGCTTGAGTTCCAAAATAAGCCTGTAATTCAGTAATAAATTCTTTAAAAGAAGAGCATAACAAGCATATTTCTTTAATGTCCCACCTCTGACTATTCAAGCACAAGTGTATAAGTAGTCTGAATGGCTTAGCATTCTGAACTGAAATGATTTACCATAGTTATCCACTTTATTTCAGTGGCTCACATGATGGTCAAATCTCAACTTTACTTTGTGTGACAACATGAAAAAAATTTCTTTCTGGTTCAGGAGGCAGGTGCCGTATTAGAGGTATATAGTGGAACTATTTGCCATTAACCTTCTCTTCAATCAGTGTACATTGAATGAATTCTAAGGATCATTTCAACTATAGACACTGGATAGAAATGTAGGTTGTTAAAGAACTAATTAATTAATAATTTCACCCACCATAGGTAATAATCCCCTAAATGAAATAATGAACTAGCCCAAGTAGTCAGAATTCGGACTGAATTTTATTATATGGCACTGACAGAACAACTGGTGATGCCAGTGGATCTATAACCTTGTGGATATCTGTATCCTTTCAATGATGTAGGTCACAAGCCATCCATGCCTGCCCATGTTTCTTATTTAGCACTATCCATAATCTCTTGATAGCCTAAAGATATTGCAATAACCAAATTTTGACAAGCTGGATGAATAATTAATTATATCCCAAAGCAGATCCCCATAGGTTATCTTTTGTTCTTGCTATGTGACAGAACCATCATCATTTCATTTATACACTTTATGGTAACCCATGGACCTTGAAATATGATCATCTTTTTCTCAGCAAGTATAAGGTATAAGAACATTACATCTATATCTATGCATATATATCCCATTCAAAATGTACAATTTTGGTACTAACTTTATTCTGATTTATCTTTATTTTACCTTTTTTTTTGGTAAACTTTGTGGTCATCAGCAATCAGGCACCCTAAATAATAGTTACATAATACATGTATTTGTCATGGAATGAAGCAATGCAATTTATTTGCTGTAATTTATTTTTTTTTACTTTTCTATTTCAATAATTACTGTAATTTTGGCATCAATGTGCTGATATTTCATAGTGACCTTAGAACTCTTAGCAAAAAAAAATTGTTTAAATCATTCAACTGAGGAAAAAAGTGGTAATTTTGTGATTCATATTTTCATTTACAAATGTCATAGTGAAGAATTCAACTTGAAATCTTTATATGTAATTATTGTCTAAACTATTTTTGATAAAATTTCAAAAGGGAAGAAATCATTAACTATACTTGAGGGACACATTATTAAGTATTGTGACAGCTATAGATAACAATTTTTTACTATTCTAAATTGTTATTATTCTGATGAAAAATGCTGTGGGGATATATGTGGGAGTTAACTATGTCAGAAACTATTGTAAACTTCTCAGTAGATAAAAAACTAAGTGATAATTTCATAACTAAGTTTTCATGATTATATATGACATTTCCCCCAGTGTTGCTACTATGTTGTAGTTGATTTCATTTTATTAAATATTATGATTTTTTAACTACTATTTTAAAAAAGTACCTGGTATCTCTGCAACTTAAAAAATGGAGACAACTAGAAAATTTTGGGGAGAAAATAAAATTTTTTTTGTGATATCAAGCTAAGAGAACTGGAATTATTTTTAGTACAGTTTAGATAAAAGAATATTTGAGTGTGATAAAAGCCCTTTAGATATACACAAAATAAGACGAGCAACAGCTGTCTATTAAGGTGGTGAAATGATGAAAATCATCATAAAATAAATCCAGAAGAATTTATATTTAATGAAGCATATTTCCTTACGTAATGAAGTTTGTTAAATAGTGAAATACCCATAGGCAAAGGGAAAACCTCCTCTCAAGACATCTCTTTGTATTGTTTCAACTTAACATTCTCTCAAAGTAAAAAAGAACTAAATACCTCTTTGAAATCTATTATAGTTCTACAGTTTAAATATTTGATTTGTAGTATTTGAAAATACTAGGTACAAAAAAATCCTCACTCCCTCTAAATATCAATGAGAATATTTTGGGGAAATGCTTTGATTCTTTCTTCAAAACATATATTAAAGAAACTAGAGGGATAGGCCTTCACAATAAAAAATTGTCATTGATATTCCTATTCACAAACGTATTATCATTTTTGTTAATTCCACAAATGACCAGATGCAAATGCTACTTTTTTCACTATCTAGAGTTCTGTGATTGCATCACTAAGGATTTACTTCCCCTGTCAATGTATAATTAGAGGGTTTTCATGGCCTGCTTTGCCCAAAAACAATGAATCCATCTTTTGGCCAACAATTTGATACCAGTCTCTCTCTGTCTCTCTTTCTCTCTCTGTCTCTCTCTCTCTGTCTCTCTTTCTCTCTCTCATTACCTAGTTTGTTTCTCAGATAACTGATTCACATACAAGACCTTTTTTATGCGTGTACATAAGGACTTTCTGGTTTGGTAAAGGCTACCAAAACTTTTTTTTTTCATAGATATAGTCTTTCAAAACACTGCATTATTTCCCTTAAGTAATAAGCTTAATGGAAACTAGGCATTATGAGATGGTCTCTAATATGATATAATCCCTCATATAACAAGAATTTCAGAAATAGACAATCAGAAATTAAAAAAAAAATACCCTGGTCAAGTTAGATACTACAATAAATAATGTAAACTCATTGGAGGCAAGGAAAATATATTTTTTTAATTTTTGTGTCCCCATTACCCATCTTTGTGACACATGTTACAATAGAAGCTTAATAAACGCTTTTTGAATTGAATAGAAAATATATTAATGTCACTGATTTCTTTCTTCCTCTCTCAAGGAAGTAATGCCTGTTTCCCAAGTCCAACTTACAACCCTTTCACATGGTTGTTCATGTTGGTTTCCTGTCCCAACTACACTTACGAGGTAGGTTATCTAATCCCTCTTTCATTTTGTAGTTGAATTTGCACTACACATGCATACACATGTCAAGTTAGGTATATACAATGCTAGATTTATAATACTATCAGTGAAAATATAGTGCTTTGTAAAATCTTATGCATATTCAAGTTTTATTGATTTGATGACTTCATCAGGCAATAAATTAGTTGTAAGTGGTTTTACTTAAATAGGTTTTAATTTATATAAAAATTACATAAATTATCTTATATATATAAACTATCTATAATTAGTAAATAATGTATATAACATCATACATTGTATTATGTAAAAAGGACTTGAATCATGTTTCTCAGAGATATAGCATTTTTTTCATGATTGCTAATATTTAATTAATCTGTTTCCAAACTAAATCTTTAGTCTTTTGGGAGGATTTTTCATTATTGTGTTTGTTCAACCAGTTGCCCCCTATTTTTGAGCTTGGTTGTCACCTAAACAATTAAAATTATCTCTTAGATTTTGCAATGTAAAGTGTCCCTAATACAATATTAGTGTATAGTATTTCATTGCTTGCTAACTTTTTTTTAATGTAACAGATTGGCTCATGGATTAGTTTCACAGTTATGACACAAACCTTACCAGGTAAGATGATTGTTAGATTCTTTGACAAGTAAAAAAGTCAAATATACTATTACAAAAAGTAATTTCTGGGAACAAGTCAATATTAACTAAAACTGTAACTGTTTTAACAATAATCTTTGGTGTGAACCCAAAGAGAAAAGGCTATTATATTTTCATTTTCATTTTTATATTGATTTCCCCACTTACATGGCCAAGTTTTTTAAATATAGTTTTCCATCTGTTAGGTAAGAGAATGTATTTTATGGAGATGCTTCTCATATGTTTTGCTTAGTGGAAATGTGCTTCAAACACATATAGCAATTTACTTTCATGAGTCCTAGAAGAAGTAAATTGGAAATATTTGTTGCACATTTTGTGTGAGGCTCCCTTTTTTGACTGGAGTGTGTGTGTGTGTGTGTGTGTATGTGTATGTGTGTGTGTAATGGTGTTAAAGAGTGAGTTTTTCAATGAATACTTTTCTAAGAGAAAAAATGTGACATATTAATTAACATTAAATTACCACTTAAATAACTTCCCATTCCATGAGGTAAAAATGGGTGTTATAAGGTCTAGATAATCTATTAGGTCAACTTATTGTTAAAAAATTAAATAATTTATGTTAAAACATGAATTATATTAAATTTTGTTCAAGTATGTGCCCTAAAGTATATGTCTGTCTAGTGTCCTTGTCTAAAAGCACAGTTGAAAGAAGAAATTCTCTGAATTCATCATTTAGAAATTTTCTATCATGCAATCTGGGAGACGAGAGACAACTTTCTTGCTCAGCTACTCTGTGGTAGTGTGCTGTCCTTCCAGTTTCATTCTTTCACTTAAAAATGGCCATTTAAGAAAATTGATAAAATGAAAAGTTGTACAATATTTGAGACATGCTTTAAGATCTATGAACAATGATTTCAATTTAGTAAAGTAATGAATTCAAGCACATATAGAAGCTGAGTGGCAATGTTCATTGTATTTCTTTTCTTCCAGTTGGAATTTTTACACTCCTAATGAGTATCCAGATGTCTCTGTGGGCACAAAAGAAGCATAAAGTTTACCTGAAGAAATTTGATTCTTATGTGTATAGGAAATCAGCCATGATTCCATTCATATTGTAAAGGGGGTTCTGGAGCATGGAAGACTCCTCTTGTACACATATGGGTTAGAAGGAAGAAGTTGTTGTACTAACACAATTGTATGGGAAGAATGATTTTTTTTATTTTCACACTTTTAATATATTTGTCTAAATCTGGATTCCCAAAACAAAATAGGAAAATTAAAAAAAAGAAGAGGAAAGGGAAGTACAGAAACACATCTATCCATTTTTCAGAGAATTATCTTCTAAACAAACCCAATGGAAAGAGTGCTGGAAAGAGCATTGGTTATGCCACTAATCACCTGAATGATCTTGGGCATGACATTTCATTTTTCTGGGCCTCAGTTTCCTTTCCTGTAAAATGAACATATTGAGCTAAAGTATTCCAGTTACAAAAATCTAGAATTTTAAATGGTTGGTTTTATTATTATTATTTACCTTTATACTTTTACCAGTTATAATTAACTATACCAATAAGCAGCAATAAGCAATCTGGAGTCTAAAGTAGAAAAATTTATAAGGTAGTTTTTGTGGGATTAAAATCATTTGAATTACTCAATTCCACTTTAATAGCTAGTTAAAACAGTCACATTTTGGAGTCTGTTTAAAGTGCATTGTCAAATGCCTAAAGTATTCTTAAACTGTAAGGTAAAGGTTTTCCAAAATTTCTACTTAAAGGTGGAAGGGTTGACATTATTCATTTATTATACATAATATATCATCAAACATGATAAATGCATGACACAAAAGGTTTATGAAACAGAACAGATTTCAAAATGATTTCTTGATGTTCTTTACTTGCTTTGTAAAGTTTGAATCTGTAAACCAATCAAAGAAAAACTGTTAAATAAAATCTGTGTGATGAGTACTGAGATTGGTGCTGGGGACAGAAAGACAAAAATGAAAGTCCCTTCTCTCAAGAAGCTTATAATCTATTGGGAGACATAGCATATACATTATTATGTTGGTGGTAGAGGCAAGACCTAATTCAGTCCCATAGTAATTTATGTTCAATATTGGAATGAAATGAGACATTCTTGGTCTACTCTATTCAACAGTTAAAAAGATGATTTATTTAACTATAACAACAGAAGAATATTCTGTAAGGGTATGTTTTGAAGAAACCTTGAGTTGAGTAAGCTAAGCAAAGTTCTCCTGCCTCTGCATTGCCCATAGTGGCCCTCTAGCTACACCTCCACCAGAGATTGGAGCTCCAAGTAGTGCTTCCTGATTCAGACAAGTAGGAAGTGATGACAATAGCTCTAATCCAAGCACACTGAGTAAGTAAAATCTCTAATAAAATGTCAATATGTTTTAAGAAAAATCTACCTAACTTGCATGGAATTTGGTAGGGTTTAGGATATTGTTTTCATCATAGGTGGTAGAAAGGAAATTGTTAGTGGAGGTGAGAAAGGAGGAGAACTTACTTCTGCACATTCTTCCTTCAAAGGCATTTTTTTCCTTGAGATTATTATGGTCATGTCTGAATCAACACAATGCAATATTTGAATGCTAAATATAGTTAAAAATAGTACGATCTTTGAAAAGTAAAATGTCTCTATAACATAGTGTCTATTAGTAGAATACAACACACTCTGTTTTACTCAACGATGCTTATTGGCAAATAAAATAACTAGTGATCCTTTAGTTTTTCTTTTTTTTTTAGGCAAGCATTTTCTCTGTTAAAAGAGAAAGCAAACAAATGAATTGGTTTTGTTTAAGACAAGCAATTGTGTGTGTGTGTGTGTGTGTGTGTTTACAAGGTAAGATGTTTGATAGAGTATATGGATAAATTCTAAATTTTCTAGTGATTTCTAAAGGAAGATAATGGTGGAAAATGTGAAAATTTAAATAATCTTTTGTTCACTTGGCTGCATACTTCATAGCTGCAGTGGCTTCTTTTGAAATAAAGAACAATTTCAGGGGCAGCTAGGTGGCACAGTGGATAGAGCACTGGCCCTGGAGTCAGGAGGACCTGAGTTCAAATCTGGCCTCACACTTGACACTTACTAGCTGTGTGACCCTGGGCAAGTTACTTAACTCCGATTGCCTCATCAAAAAGCAAAAAAAAAAAAAAAGTGAATGTTGAAAAGTAAAAAAAAAACAAAAAGAAAGAGAAATAAGGGACAGTTTCTAACCTAGTAAGTAAACTGATATTTCTTTAGGGTATTTTACTGAAATTCATAATTTTGTGGATAGAAAAGTTAAGTGCTTGTGATTATCAATGATATTAAGCAAGGATAGAAAGATAACTTTTAAAAAGAGGGCTTTAAACCCTGGAGAGGAGGGCTAGATTTAGGCCTTTTTGCTTCAGGATCAGGAACTTTGATGTTTGTGCACGTGTAAAGTTGAGATGTCATATTTTAATTCATATTTCAGTATAAACAACTCACAGAAATACTTTAATCATCATTAAATGCAGAAAGACATGCAAAGTTATTCTTCTTTTTCTTCTTCTTCTTCTTCTTCTTCTTCTTCTTCTTCTTCTTCTTCTT